TCATCATTGACTTCTTCCTAGAGCTGAGAGTGTGTGACTCAAGGTCATCCTGTTGGCTTTTGTGCCTAAAAGCGGCACTAGAATTCAGGTGTCCTGCTCCTAGTCCAATGCCTTAATCACTAGACCAGACTGGTCCTCATTAGCTACCTATTAGCTATCAAATTACAGTCATGTTTGTTTACAGTACTGAAAAAGGATAGGCAATGTAAGGAACAGTTGTCTTTACTAAAGATTTTTCCATCTTTCCATTCAGTGGAACACACTTTGCTTATCACACAAGTTTGTTTTCTGTGAATATCTTAGTTGCCAGTATTGCTAGCTGCCCAGTGTAACTTACCAATGTTTTGTCATTCTGTTTTTTTAACTGATTGCTTTTATTCTATTTTGTTATCTTATTGTAAATCGTATTGATGCTTGTAGTTAGAAATTAAAAGTGATACAGAAATATCAAATACAAGTTTTGACAGAAGAGTAATTACTCCAGCTCCTTAACAGTGCTAATGCCAGTAGGTGCATCTTAATTATACAATTCTGGTTGCTTTACCTGGTTGGTAGTTACTTTCATGAATGAAAGCAAATATATGGGACCAAGGATAATGTTGCAGAATCCAATTTAAATAGGTCACTGGGATCACAGGTTTACTCTTCAGAACTTTTGGACTTATGCTGGACCCCCATCCTTAGGGAACCTCCCTCTACTGGAATGTGCACTTTGGGCTATTCTATGCATTGTATTTATGTGGTGCCTGGTTGGGTGTGGCTTCTTATTGATTGGGATGTTGATCGCTGGCTATTAAGTCATTGACTGTTGTTTCCTTATGCTGTCAACTCCTTGGCTCCTAAGTACCTGACACACTGGTGGTAAATCGACACTCCTGTTCAATGACAAGAGGGATGTTTCCAAGGCTTCAATAATTTCCCTGGCTATTTTTGTATCTGCTCAGCCAACGATCTTAATTACTTTACTTAGTTGGTAGTTAGTTTACTAGTTGGTAGTTACACCTGGGTTTGGAATGGGAGCCTCTACAAATAGTCACTTATGATTTAGTCATCTTTATTGGACTATTGCATTGTCCAGTGAAGAATATTTGGCAACCACATTTGTTCCAGAATTCAGTGGCCTGAGAAGTTATGGGTGCTTCCCAATTCATCTGGATAACACCACCATATTGAGAGATGTGCTGATTGCTAGTTGCCTGCATCTGATCCGGAGCAATTCAAGGTGTAGGTGGAAAATCTTTAAAGCCTCCCATGGTTCAGAAGCACAATTATCTGCAGGACTACTTCTCTTGATAATATTTTCCTATTCAATAAGATCCAGTTAGGATGGACTCATTGTCATTTTGCTCAGGGTTTCCCATCTTCAGAGATCCTGGAGGCAAGCCTCCTCAGTCACTGTCTCCCTGAATATCCATACTGACCCCTCCCCCCCAGTTTTTAGCACTAGCTATGCGTTCAAACCGGTCAGTCCTAGAAGAGATCAACCCCGACTGCTCTTTAGAAGGCCAGATCCTGAAGTTGAAACTCAAGTACTTTGGCCACCTAATGAGAAGGAAGGACTCACTGGAGAAGGGCCTAATGCTGGGAAAGATCGAGGGCAATAGAAGAAGGGGACTACAGAGAATGAGGTGGCTGGATGGAGTCACTGAAGCAGCAGGAGTAAGCTTAAATGGTAGAAGATGGTAGAGGACAGGAAGACCTGGAGGAATGTTGTCCATGGGGTCGCGATGGGTCGGGCACGACTTCGCAATTAACAACAACAAATTTTATAAGGACTTCAGAACTGAAATGGTATGAACTGTTTCCCCTAGAAATGGAAGTTTTTCTTTGCTTGATGATGGCTGTTGAATGATTCCTTGTACTATATATTGGTATACATTATTATTTATTTTACTTTAATGTGCATTATGTTTTTAGCTGCATTTGTGATGTTTCGAACATATGTCAGTCCAGATCAGCTTCAACTGGAGTAGTATACAAGTCCAGTGAAATACCTAACAACACATCTACAGCAGCTTCTACTGTGTGATCTACCAGCATCACCTCTATGCTGTAGCCAGGAGGAATGAATCCTTTGCTCCCCTCCAGTGGTTATTAGGTTGATCAGTTGATCATCATTTTGACAAATACACCCCACATTTTATTGAGAGCTGCTGTTTAAAACAGATAATGGCAGGAATATGATCTTTTGAAAGTGTGTTCACACCTCGCTCTAACTTATGGTTACTGAACCATGGCTTACTGAATTAATCAAATTGCCTGAGTTTGCATAACACACTGAACCATAAAATAACCACACCGGCTGAGCTTGCACAATTCATTGAACCACAAAACTAGACAGCTTCTTTCAGCTGAATGTGTGTAAACCCAGCCGCATTACAAAGACAGTTCACCAGGAACTTGGGTTGGTAAGCAAAACTTTTTAGTAAAAGTTTTCACTAAGCGTTACGTTTTTAAAATTGCAAAGGAGATCGTGTCTATAAAACACATAATATTGTGAAGTGTGGAGAAGTAATTACATCGTAATTAAGTCTCTCTGTATTTTTGGGGCAAAAGCTCATTATCCTCCCCCCTTCCAGAAAAACTTTTGGAAAGTCAAATGTCATCCAGGCTAACCTTTTATGGAAAAACTGTCAAGATGTTTATGTAAAATGTAATACACAAAGAGGCCAGTAGGTGTTTTTTTTTTTTGGGGGGGGGGGGTTGATAGCAAATGGATTCAGGCGCTATACTGCAACATTTTCAAACACTTTAATCAGGATTTCATTTATGTTCCCAAGGTTTTGATCTCTTTTCAGCTGCTCTCCCAATCCATCGCTGCGTTGTCCAGTATTCCAAGCATTAATATAAAACTCTTGCACCTATTCTTACTTGAAATCTTCGCTACAGTTTGGAATTTCCCGTTCTTTTCTTTCTGGGAGCCAAGCTGGCTCTGCAACAGAGCGGAGCCCGCCTACGCTGCTCCGCTACAAGGAAGCGCGTCCGAACTCCGAGCCGCGTTACTTGGCGCTACAAGGTCAATCACCGTTAGCCAGCAGAGGGATGCGGCTCCATCCTGGGCAGGTTTTACTTAGAAGGAAATCCGGATGAATTCAGTGAATCTTAATCCCACGTAACGGGAACTATCGCGCACTTCCCACTAGATTGCTAGTTTGTAGCCAGCGAAGCCAGCAAGAACGCCGAGCCGCGGAGATGCTTAGTTTCTTTCGTGGACTTGCTGGTGTCTCTTCCCCCCCTCTCAATCTCCACCGTTTGCTGAGTGGAGCTCCCGCTGCCTTTTCGGTTATATAGATCTATCTCTAGATCCAAAGGAAGACCCTGCCTTTGACTGGGAAATAAGAGAGCGACGACCAGCTAAGGAAGAAAGGCGCCCCAGTTCCTCATCATTCCTGTCCATCCCCGATTCCGCAGCCGTCCTTGCGGGCCAGGCATCCTGCTTTATCCCCATTCTCCAGCTTGCGGCCGTTTATTCTCCTTGTCATGCAAAAGGCAGGCAGGCAGGCTGGCTGCACTGCAAAGACATCCCCTGGAAATTTGCATGTACCAGAACTCAGCTACCGCGCCATCTAGCCCTCCCAAGCCTCGGCGCACAGCACTGAGCCCAGCCCGCTTATATAGTTCTCTAAAAATAGCTCCCCTTACACTGCCTTATAAGGCGGCAGTCGGATGAAACCCTCCTCCAATCCCTCCGGCTCTTCCGTGCTCTGGCCCGTCCCCCCTTCCTCCAGGAAGGCCTCGATTGGGCCTCAGTGACTTCATGAGCGGCCCTCTCTTCCCTCCCCCTGTTTACCTTACATGGTCACGCGCTGCCTTAATGGACGGTTTCCTCTGAAGAGCCCACGACTGCGCGGAGAAGGGACGGGGAGGGGGGGGAGAGTGGGGAGCGCGCTCCGGGAGCGCGCACAAGGGAGAAAATGCAATTCCCCCCCCAATAAAGAGCAAAGATTGCATTCAGCAGCGAGCAGCAATGCAGAAATAGATGGCAGTCTCGTGTCAGTGAGTTTGCATCCCCCCCCTTCTCTGGTTCAAGCGCTGGAGTCAGCAACAGAGCCCTTGAAGGCAATTGCTTTTTACTACAAGTGGAGAAGTTCCCCCTCTTGGTTGCCTGGCTGACGGCTAGCCTCGTACATGTTTGGGAGCATTTTTCCTTTCTTATCGGGTTGTTGATGGGGCTCTTTTCCTTTTTTTTTTCTTCTTCCTTCCTCCACTCTTGTTCCTGCCTTGATTTTTCCCCCCCTATCTTTGAAAGTGTGACTTCAAATATTCTCTTGTCTCTCTCAAACAAAAGCAAAACGAGAGAAAAAGGACCTCTGGATTGATTACGCCTAAGAGTCTTTCCCCCCCTCCTTTTTAATGAACAGAACTAAAACCCCGTCACGAAATTTCAAACACAAATCTAAAAGGAAAAGGTTGTGGTTTGTTTTTTTGCTCAGCAGCAGCAGCAGCAGCAACAACAACATGGATGTGTTGGCTAGTTATAGTATATTCCAGGAACTGCAGCTTGTCCACGACACCGGGTACTTCTCAGCTTTGCCATCCTTGGAGGAGAACTGGCAGCAGGTGAACCATTTACCTTACTCCTGTACATCTCTTAAATGCTGGCATTGATGAATCAAAGCCTCTCTTTTGCTTTTATTTCTCATTCTCTCTCGCCTTGGTTTCCCCCCCTTCTTGTAAAGTAAGCTGCACTGTTACAGTTTCATTAACAAAGCGATGTAGTTGAAAGCTGCTTGCGTTAAATCCGAGATCAAAATAATAGTAATAAATCAGGGAACATCCTGAGGACTGGTGGAAGTTATTTGGAGGTCTTTTAGTATTATGTTTTGAGTTCCTTTTAAAAAGGAATAAAGTATTGCCCTCCCCCCTTTTTCTTTGTGAATAAGGAGGGATCACTTTTAACTGGTGTTGACAAACTGACAACTGATAGAAATGGAATAATGTATATTCCTCTTTTAAAAGTAATTGGTGCATAAGTATAAGCCAGTTTTTACTAAAAGTAGTCTGCAGGAACGTGCTGTATTAACAATCTGTTTCCACTTATTAATTTTTATTTATTTATTTTTAAAAACTTGCACGAGCGATACTGGTTTAGAACAATGCCACTCAAGCTTATTTCTGCACATCCAACAGAGAGAGCTTAGACACTAGAAGAGTTAAGAAATATTACCAAAATCGGAAAATTGGGTAATGAGGTTAAAACTGCGCTGGTAGACAATACTGTCAGGAGAGATGGGAATCTAGAGAGAATCAGAGACTTTCATCAAATCCCTGATTAGCCCAACTATCCAGATGAGGAGAGGGAATGCTTAGCAGTCTCTAACTATCAACTGGCAAGATGAAATGTAGCTGGAGAGGACAGCCCTTCCAAGAGACCCCTTGTTAGGGCAAGATGACACCTAAGGTGGTAGTATGAGTTTTATGGCTGGGTTTGATTAATGATTTGTTGGTATATTCTGAAAACTCCTTTCGTTAGAGAGAAAGTGAGAGGCAGATGAACCCTGGCCTGTGGAGTTAACAAGACTAGGGACGTGCACCATGTGGTAGTCATGTAACTTCCATGCCCATGACCGATATAGGGTGAAAAAGCTAATGACTTGCTGTATTTTATTCTCTTGTGGTCCAAACATTATTGATTAGCTCAGTTCTAGAAGGGGGCATTGGATCTTACTGCTCTGGAATGGCTAAACAATTCTCACTAAAATTCAATGTATAATATTTAGCTCCAGGTTTCTTTTTGAATGTGTGCTTTTTTAAAGAAAAATACATGGTGGAAGCACTTCAGGTCCTCTTGGTTGTGAAAGGCAGAAGCCTGTGTTCGGCTTGCTTGTTACACACATTGGTTAATGAGTCACATATGGTTTTCTTTACGGTTCTCCTTTCGGCAGCTGATCCAGTTGGAGTGACAAATAATTCTTGCCTTAACAATTCTTCCAGTTGCTTCCCCATAGTGGTCTTGCTGGTGCATCAGTTGCATATTAATAACAGTCTAGACCGTTCTAGGCAAGATAATCTGTTGGCACATTCAGCAACCTAACACTGATATTGTCTGCTATATTTTGGGAGATTATTCTACTATAGAAAAAGGAAACTGCCTGTTTTTTTCAATATAAAAGCATTCTGCTCGGAAATCAAAGTGGAAAGGATTTTTTAAAATACCAATTAGGTTTTGCAGGCATTTTATTTTTGTTAAATCTTGGTTGCCATGTGAACAAGTCACATTCAAGAAACTTGACATTTATGTAGTCAGTGTGTAGAGCACTCTGTTCACATGTCCCTATTTTTTTTAAAAAATAGTCCCTGTAAGATAGCCAGTTTTATCTTCCTATTGTGTGTGCTGGGGGAGGAGCTGAACAGTAAAATCGTGCCCTTAAAGCCTCCTGGTGAAGTGGCTGAAACTTAAATTGTTTTAATTAATATTCTTGTATAATTGTAGGCTCACTTGGGTTGTTAAGGCTACTGCTTTAAGATGGCTTATACATCTTAAAAGCCAATGAATAAAAATTATCACCAATATACCGAATGTACATACGTCTCCTCAGACGAAATTCCAATTGCATCCCATCCCATAGAGCCTCGTTCCAAGTCTAAGAAGGATACACACCTCAATCAAACTCTGCTTATATGGGACAAGGAAGAGGGTGAATGGAAAGTGTCCTGAAACAATGAGCATGAATTCACTTACACTAAATTAACTTTTCAAAGGATATGTTTTGCTTTCTCAGTCTACTCCAGACATTGTGATTTCTGGAAATACATCTGTAATTATAAAGACAATTGAGTTTTCAATATTATAATTTCTTTGAGGAAGCACTATCATAGAATCAGTATTTGCTTCTAAAAATGAGTTTGCTAACTTTGGAAAGCAGCAGAATAGCCCCAGGAATCTTAGATCCCCACTCATTTTTTTAAAAAAAAATATGTGCTCCATTTTATTGAAATGCAATCTAGCAAAACATCTGGGAGACATTGCAAATGAAAGAAGAGCAAGAAGGCTTGACTTGCTTCCCCTTCCCCTTTGTCCGATCACAGCAACATTTGAGAAATCTGCTCCAGAGGCTGAGTAAGTAGCATTGGCAATGGATTCCAGATACATTTTGTTCAAAGCACAATTCTTTCTCATTTCCACATCCCCCGTTCTGTCTGCTTCTCCTCTGAATTCCTAAACAAGGTAAAGATACAGCTCTGTTGAACAGACCACTTACACTGATGACTTCAGCAATTTGGAACTTCTCGCTCAGATGAAATCCTTAAGACAGAATAGCATAATATTCTTTATCGCAAGAACGATCTACCAGGAAAGCCATGTTTACACAGATATTATACAATAACTGATATTACTCATATGTCGAGATGCCCTGAGACTCATTATGAAAGCACTGATGGCGTACTCTTCGACCGAGTTGGGCATTTTAGTTAATGGGATAAAGTTACTTGCTTAAACATCTCCCACTGAATTTAGTGGGATTTCATGGTCCTTCACTTCCATGGGTAATATTATGTGGAAATAGGTCTCATTGCTTTCAGTGGAAGATTTTTTTGATGTCCCTGCATGTATTTTGGTGTGAGTGACAGCTGTAGAAAACTAATATAGTAAGATGGTATTGCTTTAGTAGCCTTCCTTCCTGTCTTTATCTTAGTCTATAGTTTTGTGACGGGTGAATTCAGAACAGGAAAAGTTGCATGTAGTTGGCAAGTGTCATAAACAGAAAACCTACTGTACTGACTGCAGCCCTAACTCCTGTCAGTTGCTAAATAAACACTTGCTGCCATTCGTTCTCCTTGCCTGGTGTTATAGGAAGAGGAAGTTGTTAAGTCCTTCTGAGAATTGGCTGCATGGAAAGTTACAAGGAAGTTCCTACACAGCTCAGAGTTTTTGGAGAAAAAAGACCATGTTGCACTTAGGTCAAAGAAATATGGCAAGTATCATTGTAGCATGTCTGCATCCTTTCTTTTCTGTGTTAATAGGTATATGGCTAGAAATGCTTGGTTAGAAACATTAGAGGCTCCTAGAAATGGAGCTACACGGTTAGAAATCCTTTTGGAGCAAAGCATTCTTAGCATTAAAGTGGGCAAGGTAACTCTTGATATATGTGCCATTTTAGCTGCTTTGGTGATAGCCAAAGTGTGTGTTGTTTCCCCCTTCCCATGCTTGAAAACTCATGTATGTACACCAATAAAATACAATAAAAAGTCCTCGCCTTAACAACCATTCATTAGTGACAGTTCGAAATGGCACTGAAAAAAGTGACTTAGCACTATGTTTCACACTTAACAACCATTGCAGCATCCCCACGGTCACAAGATCAAAATTCAGAAGACTGGCATGTATTTATGATGGTTGCAGTGTCCCCAGGTCATCTGATCACTTTTTGGGACCCTCTGACAAGCTGAGTCAATGGGAAAGCCAGATTCAATTAACAACTGTTAAGTGTTACTAACGTAACAGCTGCAGTGATTCACTTAACAACTGTGGCAAGAAAGGTTGTAAAATGGGGCAAAACTCAACAACTGTCGTGCTTAGTAATGGACATTTTGTGATCAATTGTGGTAGCAGGTTGTGGACTACCTGTACCATGTAGACAAGTCTTCCCATAGACATAAACCCAATTGGATAGTCCAAATAATTCTGCCTCCACGTACCATCTCTGGGCAGTTGGAAAGGAGCTCTTCGTGCAGCTTTTCCCAGTGTTGCATTATAGTATTGTGCAGAATTTCAATATAGTTTTACAACAGGGACATAAGTGAGGCAGGGAGGGGAGTTATCACTGGCTGGAATATTTAGCCCAGATGTTATTACTTGGATGGGAGACTACTAGGATTTAAAATGAACCCGTAAAAAAATAGGTGTTTTTTTTTTTTTGCATCTGTTACATTACTTTAGGCTTACCACACAGCATGGCTATGTCCTTTATGACTGAAAAAAATCAAGATTTGGGCTTAGAATATATACATAAGCAAAAGCTGGAAATGACTAGAAATGATGACTGGAATCTGAAGTTATTGCTTGCAATGGCTTGAGAGGTGGAATAAATAATTTATATCTTGTCCATTTACATGTCTTTACCATTTGGACTCAGGGGAGATCTTATGAACCCCCTGAGGTAGTTTTGCTTAGAATGCTATTTATTGAACCTATGTATGTTTAGAGTTGAGCATATATAGTTATGCTGTTTGTACTCTAAACAAGCATAGCTTTCACATATATTTTCCAGTCAAAATGTTGTCCCCTTCTTATGGACATTGTTCAAACAGAAAGTACTTTCCTTTGCACACATTGCTTATACCCTGTATCTGTGGATCTTGGAAAGGCTCTTGGAAATGGCTGGTGTGCTTTGGTATAAGTTTGCTAAGAGCTGTTGGAGGAAAACTTCACGAGACATATAGAAATGTAACTTGTTGAGAGGCAAACAGTAATGCAGCAAGAATTCAGCCTGGTCATCCCAGGTAGGGGCGCTCCTTGTCACCTCTGATCTTTTTAAACTGGTGATCCCAGGAATTGGTTCTGACTTTCAGGCCTTTTGCTTGCGAAGCGGGTGTACTAAACAGCATCCATAGTTGAC